TTTATTTTATTCAGGCTCGCCAATCATAATAAGCAGTTTGGGGGGGGGGGGAGATGGAAGGACGAAAAGCCGGAGCGCGAACGTGCTGATACGGAAAGGCAGAGGGAGCCGCTCGAGAAGCCGCCTGATCGTGACGTGCTGGCTCACGCGCTCTCGGCTCTCACGCTTGACTCCTCCCCCCTCCCCGCCCTACTAAAAGAGGGTGGGAGGGGGGGAAAGGAAAGGATTTGCGCATGCGGCGCTTCCTCGGGACATGTTTGACAGATTCATAGAGTTGTCAGTCCTCCACGGACCAGAGGGGACAAAAACAAAGGCAAGACCGGAAAAGGAGCTTGAGTAGGATGGCTTTCCTGTTGCCTTGATGTATTTCCGGGGTGAAGCGGGTCTCCTCGCCATCGTGGGCTTCAGAGCACGTTTTGGAAACTCTCGGGCTTTGAGGCGGAGGATTTGGGCGTTGCCATGACGACGTGAGAGGCGCCCAGCCAGGCCTATGCAGGTTAGTTCGTGTTAATCAGAGAGTTACTTTTCAAACTTTATGAATCCTCTCTTAGTAGGGTTGCCAATCTCCAGGGGTTACAACTGATCTCCAGGCAACAGAGGTCAGATCACCTGGAGGAAATGGCTGCTTTGGAAGGTGGACTCTATGGCATTCTGCCCCATTGAAGTCCCTCCCAAACCCCGTCCTTCGCAGGCTCCACTCCCCAAAACTCCAGATATTTCCCAACTGAAAGCTGGCAACCCTGTCTCTTAGGCGCGCAGCTGACTATAGGCCTGGTTAAGCCTACCTCGCAGGGTTGTTGTGAGGATAAAACGAGGGAGGGGAGAAGCAAATATATACGGCCCTGAATTCCTGGGGAGAAATAAAAACACTCGACAAACGTAGCCTGTCTCATGGGCAGTGAGTAGATTTTGCAGGGAAAGGCAGAGGCAGTAAAAGAGGAGAGGAGATTGGATTTATACCCCGCCCTTCACTCGGAGTCTCAGAGCAGCTGACAAACTCCTTTCCCCTCCCCTCCCCACAACAGACACCCTGTGAGGTAAGTGGGGCTGAGAGAGCTCTCTCGAGGACAGAAGAAGAAGAAGGATTGGATTTATACCCCACCCTTCCCTACCCAAAGGTGTCTCAGAGCAGCCTACAAACTCCTTTCCCTTCCCCTCCCCACAACAGATGCCCTGTGAGGGAGGTGGGGCTGAGAGAGCTCTTGACAGAAACGGCTCTTTTTCAAGAACAGCTCTTATCAGAACTATGGCTTGCCCAAGGTCATCTAGCCAGGTGCAAGTGGAGGAGTGGGGAATCAAACCCGGTTCTCCCAGATTAGAGTCCGCGCACTCAACCACTACACCAAACTACTTCAGTTGCTTCAGAGCAGAGGTTTAGGGGTTGGGTTGGTATCCAGACTGGAGTGGGTTTCTTGCATCATCTGCTCATATCCATCTAAGCAAATGCCTATGTTATCCATGCCTAAAATATTTTGTACGAACCCATTTAGTTGTCCAGATCCCAGTAATTCGGACATCACAGTATCTGAACTTTCATTCTGTCTAACCCTTTTGACTTTCTTATTCCTTGTTAGTCCCTCACTATGTTGCTCCTCAATTCGTGGCTTAAAGGACGGTGTCTCAAATGATAAGGGATAGCTGATCGCCATGATAATAACTACCAACTTTGAAAGAGCCAGTGAACTGAACCATACTTTCAGGCAGTGTGATGTAATCTAACACAAGGAGTGGGTTTTGTTTTGAGGCCTTTTGGAAAAGACACACGGTGTTTCCCATAACTGTCCACAGACTTGGTTTCCCCCTGCTTTGCTGCTGTCTTTCCCAATTCTGATTTGCTACCATCTTTTGAGAAGGCTGAAGAGTGAATCTCCAAATTCCCTGCCCCTTGCCAATGAGTAGTGCATGAAATTATGTCCACATTAGACAGCAGAGGAATCTGGGTATATTTATACTGCTACCCTGGATGTCTACTGGGAAGAAGGAGCAAAAGCAGAAAATGTATTTTCTGCAACTAAAGGGCATGATGAGTAGAGAAGGTAAGCCATAAAACCAGAGGAGGAGGAGATTGGATTTATAGCCCGCCCTTCACTACCCGAAGGAGTCTCAGAGCGGCTTACAAACTCCTTTCCCATCCCCATAACAGACACCCTGTGAGGTAGGTGGGCCTGAGAGAGCTCTCTTGAGGAGTGGAGGAGTGGTGAATCAAACCCAGTTCTCCCAGATTAGAGTCCACGCTCCTAACCACTACACCAAACAGTGTAGAGTGTTAGGCTGGGAGACCAGGATTCGAGCCTGGCCCTCAATCGTGAAGCTCACTGTGTGATTTTGACCTAGTGGCCCACGTAGCGTAACCTACCTCACAGGGATGCTGTGAGGACCAAGAGTGGGGAGAACCACGTACACCATTCTTGGAGGAGAGTGACATTATTTTGGGGCTCCTTGGCTCCCCTTAAATTATTTCCATGCTTTTAGAAATAATAATATATGGTCTTTTAATTTTAATGGGCACTTCGCCCTTTTAACCTCCTGGTAGTTTTGATGCTGGTTGTTTAAAAGCCACCACGAACTGTATAGCCCGATCTCATCAGAAGCTAAGCAGGGTCGGCGCTGGTTAGTACTTGGATGGGAGGCCAGCAAGGAAGTCCAGGATTGCTACGCAGAGGCAGGCTGTCAGTTATGCTGCCATGATGTTTATGGTCTGGGGCTCATTTGCTTGACCTGTGTACCAGCTGCTGCTGCATTCCTTCTTTGCTTCTGTAGTACTTTATTATCAATGACCTTGTAGATTGCCTGTGTACTGTCTGGGCATCAGGTAACCGTGGGATAGCTTTCGATTCCCAGCTTCGGCTCTAACGGCCTGGGGCCCCTTCTCCCGCACGCGGGAGTCAGGCCAATTGGCCTATGGATGGGTGTGTGTGTGTGCGTACGAATACCCTATATCAGGGCTTTTTTTGTAGAAAAAGCCCAGCAGGAACTCATTAGCATAATAGGCCATACCCAACAGCAGGAACTCATTGGCATATTAGGCCACACCCATGACAGCACAGCTCATTGGCGTATTAGGCCACACCCCCGTGTTACCAGAAGTGAGGTCATCCAGCCACACCCACCTTTCCCTTCTTATTCCGTTTACCTTGTTTGTTGTCAAAACCCAGGGCCTTTTTGTAGCAGGAACTCCTTACTGCATCTGTAGCTCTGCAATAAAGTATAACCGTTCTGACAAGCGTGAACTCAGTTGTCGGCTGTGGAATCTGACACAGGCAATGGCAAACCACCTCTGAATGTATCTTGCCTTGAAAACTCCACTGCGACTCGATGGCAAAAATCCACAAGAAACTAAAAGCCGCTGTGCTCTGTAGTTGTTCCTAAATAGTGAACGTGAACGAGGGAGATTAAAAGGGGTGGATAGCCCAGGCAAGCCCAATCCCGTCAGATCTCGGAAGCTAAGCAGGGCCGACCCTGGCAAGTACTTGGATGGGAGACCTCCAAGGAATACCAGGGCCGGGGTGCAGAGGCAGGCTGTCAAGCTATCTCTCTGGAAAAGTCCAAGCCGCCAGTAGGGGTCACCAGAAGTCACCATGACTTCCAGGCATGCAAGAACATATGCACACACACACA